ATCACCCCCCCCCCCCCATCCAACATTTTACATTCCATCTGACTTCCCATGGCTGCCCCAATTCTATGATTGCTGTCTCGACATTTCGACATGAATTCTTACGACTGTTAAAGCCACTACACTGTGATTCTCCTCCTCCGTGGCTCCCTGTAACTTATCAGATGCCATTTCTCGGACCTCGCATACCTGTGCTGATTCTCTCAATGATCATAGCTTGAAAATAAAATAATTATCATTTTTGTATAAAAGAATAATGTTGAAAAGGTCTGTAATTTAGTGTAATTGGCTCTTTTGCTGTGGGACAAAACAAAGTAGGTTCATCCGCCGTGCTTAAAAGCATGGACCAATGCACTGTGCGTTGTTTCAATATCATGGTTGTTTCTTTGCTATTTCTTGGTTAAACTTTTTAAGAGTTATTTTTTAATTAGACTTTTACATAGAATAGTGGTACTTCATTGTTTATGAGTGAAATCAAGGTTTATTTTTTGTCATTTGAAGTACTATTTTATTAATACTCTTCACTTTTTTTTTAAATCAATATTGTTGCTATGGCTACCCTAGTGCCCTAGTGGGGTGAGTAAGTTTCCTAGACGATTAACAGCTCAAAAAGCTTTCAAATGTTTTATACTATTTCTTTTGATTGTGAGGTTGATTTAGATCCATCGCATGATTCAGATAGTGGTAGTTTTAGAGGACTTAATTTATAGCAGTGAAAATTATGTATGCCTACATCAAAGTGTTTTGGGGAAAAAAAAAGTTTTGCATTCATGTTTTTACATTTAAGTTTCTTTTTTGTTACTTATTTCACTTAAACTGAAGAAATAAGTTTAGAAATACATAGTCCTTTCAATTATCTTTCATTTGATACCAAATCTATCCTTATAAACCAAACGGTAATTTTTTAAATATAACCAACCTCTCACTCTTTTTCGCTCTTTGAACAAAAATGTCAAGTTTTTCATTAAAAAAATTATGCAGCAAAAGAGTAAAGTGGATTTTGTTACTATAATGTTCTAATTTTTTAATGTGACGTCACATTGATTTAACACCTTGTCACATATTGTCACAAAAATATGACTCCCCTCCCTCCCAATTCATTTAAGAATTGCCAATGACTAAACTAGTAATTTGTAAATATTAAATAAATATTGTATTGAAATTTATTTTAATTGTCTTTCATTTTTTTTTAAAATATTCTTTTTCAAATTCTAGTTTAACACTAAAATCTAGAATATAATACGAAATACTGTTAATCATAGTAATTAAAATAGATTAGTAGCATTCATACCCATGATGCCCATAGTCAAAGCCTTCAAATTCAAGTATGCGAATGTTGATTAGTAATATTAATGCTATATAGTATTAGTAATGGTAAAGGATGGTCAGTAATGGCTTATCATCATCATTGGTGCTTAAGCCCATGTGTCATGATGTAGGGCCCTGGTCTTCTCCACCACATCCTTCCATTTAGGATTGATTCATGGCCGACACACAGTTGGTTTAAGTCCCTCTCTACATCATCAGTCCATCTCCAAGGTGATTAGCTTTCGTAACATTGGATGTTTAAGGTGAGATGGTCATCAGCCCTGTGCACAACCATCTTGAAGGATGCCCTTAATTTGCAGCTCTCGGGGAAGCTTCCTTTGTTTTGGATCAGGTTCCTGTCATTTGTGGATCCCTGCACTTCCAACAAGGTAGTAGGTTCTGATTTTGGTCCACCCCGGCCATTTTATTTCTCCTGCCATATCTATGCCTTTTCCCTATTTGCCACGTGTGGAGATGCTCGATGAGAGATCAGTATGTCCACACAAGTCAGTAATGGTTACTAATGCCAAAACAAACAAAAAAGCCAGTGTTCATTTTTTCCCCTTGTTTATTATCTTAAACGTAAACAGTATTTGTTGTTCAAGTTATGCTAATGCTTTATGGATTTCCCAACCATTTCTATATTCTGCACCCCCAATGAATTGTTTTGACTGTCTTGTACCCCCTACATTGCCCTACCCACGTAATAATGCATATTGAAATTAGAAGAAAATTGCAATTGTTTTTTAATTATTAAGTAAGTAAAGAACTTAGAAAATATACTTAGTAATATTAATATATATATATATATAATGTGTATATATATAATGTGTATATATATATATATATATATTAGCTATAAACATTTATGTTATACCTTAAAATGTTAAAAGTCAGGGGCTTCTTTGTTCTTAATAAAAATTACTTCTCCTCGCATCCCCTGAAATGACACCTTTCAAGCTCATTAGTTGGGAAACCCTGCAATGTATAGCAACCAAAATTTGAGTGAACAAAACAGAATGTTGAACAAATCACAACACAAGTCATCTCCTTTGACTCCCATATTTTCTTTAATAGTACACATGCTAACCAAGCCTTTCCAATACTAGCCCTGACATCTGCTTCGGATCCACCATTTATGTCAATGGTGCTGCTTAAGTATGTATGCATTTCCTACCAGAGAAATATGCTCTTGGTTGGCTGAGTTTACCTTCATGATCTTTCTCTTGCTTTTAGTTTTAATTAGTCTGAGCTGTGCTGAAATGGTATGGCATGCAAGTTATATTTCAAAGCCTGGCTTTGTTCAGTGTATGTCATGCATGTTACATTTAGTCTTTTCTTGCATTTGTTGCTGGTTGTGGGACAGAAGTGTAATGTCATCTGAAAAGTCTAGGTCATTTAGTTTTTCCCAGGGTGTTCACTTTATCCCGTTCCTCTTGTTGTCTGTGGATTTTGTTCATTATCCAGTCAATGGCAATGATGAATAGGAAAGGGTACAAGAGACATCCTTGTCCGACTCTTGTTTCCACTTTAAAAGCGTCAGTGAGTCTACCTACGTGTACCAACCACCCTGCATGTAATTTCTTCATAAGAACTCAAAATGATCCTGACTAGTTTTTCCTGGTGCCCCATAATGCCGGAGAAGTTTCCACAAGGCTGGTCGATCCAGGCTATCGAAGGCCTTTTTGTAGTCGATAAAATGTATAGTATACAAGGGGGAAATTCCATTCGATGGACTGTTCGATGGAAGGATCCGTAGTGCTGCAATTTGATCTGTGCATGATCAGTTTCAAAGAAGCCAGCCTGTTGATCTTGTACTTCTTTTTAAACCTATTTAGATGCTGGTCAAGGCACACACACAAAGTTTGGGGAAACATTCTCCAGTAGGCTGAAAAATGGAACTCATAAATATGATGAACATTGTCTTGCTCTAACCAATTGAAAGATATTTGAATGCATTTGTGTATTATTTTGCGAAATTTTGGAATAGGCATTTCATCACACTTCAAAGTAATCAAAGTAAGGAATTCTGATTTTGATAACAACAGCTGGTCCAATGACCCATCATTTGCGATTATGAAGTAATTATGGTGATACCTTTAACTTTCTCAGAATAAAAATGACAATATTTGTGTTAACACTGAGGTAAACAAACTATTCCGGAAGAATATCTCACCATGTTCAGTGTATTGCATGCAAGTTACATTTCAAAGCCTGGCTTTGTTGTTCAGTGTAGGGCATGCAAGTTATATTTCAAAGCCTGGCTTTGTTGTTCAGTGTATTTCATGCAAGTTACATTTGAAAGCCTGATTTGTTGTTCAGTGTATTTCATGCAAGTTACATTTGAAAACCTGGCTTTGTTGTTCAGTGTATGACATGCAAGTTACATTTGAAAGCCTGGCTTTGTTGTTCAGTGTCTGGCATGCAAGTTACATTTGAAAGCCTGGTTTGTTGTTCAGTGTCTGACATGCAAGTTACATTTCAAAGCCTGGCTTTGTTGTTCGGTGTATTTCATGCAAGTTACATTTGAAAGCCTGGCTTTGTTGTTCAGTGTATAGCATGCAAGTTACATTTGAAAGTCTGGCTTTGTTGTTCAGTGTATAGCATGCAAGTTACATTTGAAAGCCTGGCTTTAATGTTCAGTGTATAGCATGCAAGTTACATTTGAAAGCCTGGCTTTGTTGTTCAGTGTATAGCATGCAAGTTACATTTGAAAGCCTGGCTTTGTTCAGTGTATGGCATGCAAGTTACATTTGAAAGTCTGGCTTTGTTCAGTGTATAGCATGCAAGTTACATTTCAAAGCCTGGCTTTGTTGTTCAGTGTATGGCATGGAAGTTACATTTCAAAGCCTGGCTTTGTTCAGTGTATAGCATGCAAGTTACATTTCAAAGCCTGGCTTTGTTGTTCAGTGTAGGGCATGCAAGTTATATTTCAAAGCCTGGCTTTGTTGTTCAGTGTAGTTCATGCAAGTTACATTTGAAAGCCTGGCTTTGTTGTTCAGTGTCTGGCATGCAAGTTACATTTCAAAGCCTGGCTTTGTTGTTCAGTGTCTGGCATGCAAGTTACATTTCAAAGCCTGGCTTTGTTGTTCAGTGTATTTCATGCAAGTTACATTTGAAAGCCTGGTTTGTTGTTCAGTGTATTTCATGCAAGTTACATTTGAAAACCTGGCTTTGTTGTTCAGTGTATGACATGCAAGTTACATTTGAAAGTCTGGCTTTGTTGTTCAGTGTCTGGCATGCAAGTTACATTTCAAAGCCTGGCTTTGTTGTTCAGTGTCTGGCATGCAAGTTACATTTCAAAGCCTGGCTTTGTTGTTCAGTGTATGACATGCAAGTTACATTTCAAAGCCTGGCTTTGTTGTTCAGTGTATAGCACGCAAGTTACATTTGAAAGTCTGGCTTTGTTGTTCAGTGTATAGCATGCAAGTTACATTTGAAAGCCTGGCTTTGATGTTCAGTGTATAGCATGCAAGTTACATTTGAAAGCCTGGCTTTGTTCAGTGTATGGCATGCAAGTTACATTTGAAAGTCTGGTTTGTTCAGTGTATAGCATGCAAGTTACATTTCAAAACCTGGCTTTGTTGTTCAGTGTATGGCATGCAAGTTACATTTCAAAGCCTGGCTTTGTTCAGTGTATAGCATGCAAGTTACATTTCAAAGCCTGGCTTTGTTTGCGATTTTTTTCATTGACGTTCGGGCCAGTGGGCGAGCCATCTTTAAATGATTATTTCGCCTCAGTTAATCTGTCCAAATAAGACACTTACAGTTGAATTTAAGAGATCAGGCCTTCTTGAAAGAATTCCACGTCCTCAGGGCTGACTCGTGGAGAGCTAATGCTTGGGAAAATTGGGTAAATTAGATTCAGTTTTGTCTTAAAGATATCAATGTTTCTCAGCTTTCAATGATCTATCGGGAGGGATAGACGCCTGGGTCCGTGATATTTCGGCCGCTTCTACAGTCTACACGACAATAAACCTTGGGTATGAAATCGCTACTTAAACTTACAGATTTTTGTCCCTTACCGAAAGTTTCCCAGCTTTAGTGACCTACAAAAAAAAAAAGGTCAAACAACCTCATAGCGTTCACAGTTAAAACAGTCACTAAGTTAGTTAGTGACCAACACGGCCCTTTTTCTTTGTTGAGAACAAGACGCCTCACATTAGCACCAGCCTCTTGGGCCATCATGTATCATTATCATCTCAGCTTAGCCCGGCCATCAACCATCCTTAGAAATACCATTACTTTGTCAGAAATGACAGATATCTAACAAGGCTCGGGTTGTTGTGTTTTTTTCAAATGTGTTTTGTCGTTTGATATATTATGGTGGGTTGGGGGGGGGGGGGGGGGGGGGGGGGGGGGGGGGGGGGGGGGGGGGGAGGGGTCCAAACGTGTTCAGAATAAAGGGCTGTCTTCAGAGATGTGTAGAGTGTAGATTAGACTCAAACTACAAGCAAGTATATCCGCTAGTGCATCTCCACTTATACATTAACATTTGTTTATGAAACCCACAGAGATCATAGAAATTCTGAATGATTGGATGAATTAATATGGCGTTTAAGATATAACATTCACTCAGACCGGTGAGAAAAGGGGGAGGGGAGGAGGGTGTATTTTTTATTTTATTTATACAATGGACACCGATGGTATCTTAATAACGTCTAGACTTAAGTAAAATATTTATGAAAATATTCGAGTCAAGACTAGTGACAATACTAAACATTCATGGAAACTCCTTCCAAAGTGTATGTGACCCTCGTATCTTTAGACCTCCTGGTTTGAAGGCGGCGATGGCCTAGATCAATCTTAACTCTTTCACAAATTTATATCCATTTTTTACTAGACGCTGTGGTTGATTAGATGACAAAAAACAAGCACTACTTTAAATACAAAGAATGTCAAGGTCCACGTCATCAACACACAGTCGGAGTTGTATCAAACATCATTTTGCTCTGACAGTGCGGCCTCTGTGCTACATGCCTTGTGGAGGCGACCCATTTCAACTTCGTCATGGCAAGCAATGCTTTACAAGAGAAACCTGTGGGCCGTTAATTGATGCCTACTTGACCTAACAGCGTTAGCCGTGAAAGGGAGCTAAAGCTCTGACTTGACCAAAGTTATCCTTCATGTACACTGCTGGTGATGCTCAATTTGTCTGTGGTACCCTGCCCCTCGAAAATATTCGCATTGAACTAGTTTTAAAAAATCCTTAGCACACTGTCCATCGCTCGACATCGGCAGTTAATAACAACATTTATTTTCATTCTAAGTAGTTGACTCCGTATTTCACCGTTTTAAAGATTCCGTGGATCGATAGAAGATAAAGATCGTAACACAATCTGGGACATTTTTTGAGAACCGCTGTACTCGTATTCGACGTGTCTGTCACAGGGAGCTCAGCACTGCCCAACAGAAAATCAATAGTTGTCATTAATCATGCTAGGTTTAAATGGCTAAAAAGGTTTTTGTTTCATATAATTATAGACTTCATTTAACGATGGAAGCAGTATTTCTTAAAATGTGTTTGGAGGGGGGGGGGGGGGGGGGTAGTGGGGTTTGCGGGCGCCAGATGTTCTGGTAGGCGGTGGCCTAAGAAGGAGGTGGTTTGCCCCGGGCGCCATTTTTCTACATTTTTATGCTGGGGCGGAATAAATGCCTGTTTCGGGCGTCCTCTTGACCGACTCCTACGCAATCACTGCTCTTCTTCTTCTGGCACCGTTGTCTAGGGCAGGGGTCCACAAAAATAGTTTTATAAGGACCGGTAGAACTATCTTGTAGAGCTCGGGGGAGAGGGGGGGTTGGTTGTGCCAAAATTATGGAGGCTTATATGCAGGGCCGGCCTTAGGCCACTGCAACCTATGCGGCCGCAGTGGGCCCCGCACTTTACCTTCTAATACAAAATCTTAATTTTCACTTATTATCCTTATAAGTTATCCCTACCCGCGCAATCCGTTTCGCATAGGGCCCCGCAATTGTTAGGGCCGGCCCTGGTTATATGTATGATCATGATATCTGAACATTTCTTATTCATCAAAAAAGTAATATTTTAAAAAAATATATAAATTATAAAAGAAAGTGTAAAAAAATAAAAATTTAAAAAAAAAAAAAAAATAAAAAAAAAAGTGTAAAAAAAAAAAAAAAAGAAGATAAAATGTAATAAGAAATTTGTCACTACCTGACACAGTCAGAATACATCAAGATGTTTTCAGAGATGAAATACGTGAATCTGGTTACAGACCAGCAGTATCGGAAAGAGCACTTGCTGATAGCTTGGAAGACATGGAATTGTTAACTTTGGGACTCAACTGAAGAAAGTTGAGTCCAAAAAATCACCAGTTTCACTGATGGAGAAAAAACGATTGTGTAAGTCATGTTATTACCATCTTATCCTAATTGATATAGAACCCCATTGTCTTCGTTCACTAGTAAATGTAGACCACTGATTTCCATTTGAGTTTTAGCAACAAAACAGTCAAACGGTTTGACAAGATTCTTATGTTGCTCTATTGCATTGCAATCCTGATCGGAAAATGGTCCTAAAACTTACGGGACAGAAATCGAGGGTGCCGATGGCTCCTCCCGCCTCAGAAAATGTTTGATAAATTTAAAATTCAGAGCCTATAATAGGTTCATTATGGCGTATATCTGAGTTCAGTATTTTTTTCAGACAATTGGATCCGGGGAGTGGGGCCATGTGGGGGGGGGGGGAGCGTGGGGGCTGACGGGGGAATCTATCAGCTCGAAAATCGCCACCCGGATTTTGAAAGATGCGTAGTTTTGTTGCAATAGTATCCGGTTCTGAAACTGCTTTTTCAAGTCCCAACGTCCTTTATTATGGCGTATATCTGAGTTCAGTATTTTTTTCAGACAATTGGATCCGGGGAGTGGGGCCATGTGGGGGGGGGGGAGCGTGGGGGCTGACGGGGGAATCTATCAGCTCGAAAATCGCCACCCGGATTTTGAAAGATGCGTAGTTTTGTTGCAATAGTATCCGGTTCTGAAACTGCTTTCTCAAGTCCCAACGTCCTTGCACAAACTCTCGTGGGAATGCGCCTGTTACTAATTGCGCGAGTTTTTCACAGCATGGATATTGAGCGAAGCAACTCCTCATCAATTAGCATTCGAAAGGAATTATAGTCTTAAGCTGAATAAATGCTTTCACATTTGTGTGCATGTCAGAGACAAGCTTGGTTTCGCCTTTTAGTATGAGATTCAATTCTTTCACACGATTGATAAAAATCTACATAAAGCCTAATGTTCAAAGCCATTTACTTTTTTTTGAAGTAACAATTGAATCAACATTTCTTTTCTTTTAAGAAAATCTTACTCTCAGCTATCTGTTGAAAAAAACAAAAAAACAAACAACATGAAAGTGACAAAAATCTTCTCACAACTGATCCATGCTATGCACAAACAATAGTTCTTCTGTCACTTCTAAATCACTATGTGACTTCACGGGTGGGATAAACTGAATTCAAGGGCCGTATGTGACCCGCGGACCGTAGTTTGCCGACTTCTGATGTATACAACTGGGAGAAAAAGGTTAGCATTCAAATTCAATATTCAGATGGCTTTCATACTAATAAGTTGTAATTTGCAGTCAAAATACTCGCTCCGATTCTTTGAAAACACCTGGAATGAGTAGTATATGGGGATGAAATGAAAGAGAGCTTTATACCATTAATACCAGTCATAGGAAATTCGAGCATTAGCAAAATGAAATGTAAGTCTCCCAGTCGCATGATGCGGGAACAGTAGCAATGTGAAGTGCATGTCTACTACCCACATGACGCTGGAACAGTGGCGCTATGAAGTGCATGTCTACTACCCACATGCCACTTGAGCAGTAGCAATATGAAGTGCATGTCTACTACCCACATGCCATTTGAGCAGTAGCAATGTGAAGTGCATGTCTACTACCCACATGCCATTTGAGCAGTAGCAATGTGAAGTGCATGTCTACTACCCACATGCCATTTGAGCAGTAGGAATATGAAGTGCATGTCTACTACCCACATGCCATTTGAGCAGTAGCAATATGAAGTGCATGTCTACTACCCACATGCCACTTGAGCAGTAGGAATATGAAGAGCATGTCTACTACCCACATGCCACTGAGCAGTAGCAATATGAAGTGCATGTCTACCACCCACATGCCACTTGAGCAGTAGCAATATGAAGTGCATGTCTACTAGCAACATGCCACTTGAGCAGTAGCAATATGAAGTGCATGTCTACCACCCACATGCCACTGAGCAGTACCAATATGAAGTGCATGTCTACTACCCACATGCCACTGAGCAGTACCAATATGAAGTGCATGTTTACTAGCCACATGACGCTTGAGCAGTACCAATATGAAGTGCATGTCTACTACCCACATGCCACTGAGCAGTACCAATATAAAGTGCATGTTTACTAGCCACATGACGCTTGAGCAGTAGCAATATGAAGTGCATGTTTACTAGCCACATGACGCTTGAGCAGTAGCAATATGAAGTGCATGTCTACTAGCCAGTTGAGCACTAGCAATATGAAGTGCATGTCTACTAACCACATGCACCTTGACCAATAGTGAATCCAATAAAGTATACGTCTTTAATTCAACCAAATACTGAATCATTAATATGACGAGCCCCCTTTCAGCCATTCACCGCACAGGTCAGCTCTTCGGTTGTCGCCAATGCTGGACCAGACTACCGATTTATTAGGATCGTCACGTGATTGTGTCCGAGGTGTTTTGAAGGAACAGATATTGTTACTTACGTCTTACTTAACCATTGTTGCTTTTAAAAAAGCAAATATATATTTATTTATTTTTTACTCTCTTTGGGTACTGCACACCTCCCCAGGGTTTCGACAATGGTACGTGCCGGCGTCACATGTGAAAATCATCAGATCTCAACTTGTTACCTGTTTCTTCAAACCAAATATTTTGAGGTTAAAATATGCTGTTGCATCGTTGCTGTTTGCCTTTTCTTAATGTTGAACTGCACGCGGGCGTACCAGCTCCTTGTCATATTACGGCACTGCGACATGAAGCCGCGCATCACCCCCCCTCCCCCCCCTTTTTTTTTTTAAACGCGTCAGCTCCCTGCGAAGTCTGGCGAAAAAAAAAACGCTCATTTTATAAATATAAGACAAGCGAATTACCTTTGTTCTTTCATAACAGACCAATCCTGGTGGACGCACGGTTTTCTGTTCTACTTGTTTCTCAGTTAAAGGGAAGTACATGTCGTTAAGGGTATTGTTTGTGTTGTGTTTAGCTTTGAGCCAAATGCAAATATTAATATTATCTTAAAGTTCATGGTTTCTGTAGGCGTTTTTTGGTGTTTTTGTTGTTGTTTTTTTTACCGAAAGATGCGCCAGTGGTTCCTTACACGACCGGATTACTCAAGCGGGCCCGAGTGTGCAGACCTTCCTATTTCATCGTCTGCTCATATTTATAACAGACAGTTTTGTTATAAATTATGGTTGTAATAGTATAGGCCCTTTATGAGAAGGCTTCGTGGGTTGTGACCAGGTCCACCAAATGATTCTATTCGGAACTGCTTCTGAAGCAGAATTTCAATAACCCCCCCCCCCCACCCCGAGAGTACGTCTGTTTGTTCTCCAGCAAATGTTTCTATTCGGACCTGCTTCTGAAGCAGAATTTCAATAACCCCCCCCCCCCCACCCCGAGAGTACGTCTGTTTGTTCTCCAGTTGTTAGAATATATTTTGTTGCAACATTACCATTAGTTTAATCATTGAAACAACTTTTCCGGACTTTGCTTGTGGTGACGGATGCAAATCAAGGCACCGTGTTATTACTGGGAAAGTGAAATATACTCTTTTTTTTTTTCCTTCAGGGGATCCTGCATAAGGCATCTACACTTGCAGCCTATTGCAATAGTTTATCATTACAGATATCCTATCCCAGTAGTAGCCTACCCGTTTGTCTTATCCTGGCCTGTAAAGCCTTCTCACATAATCTACCCCAGTAATACCCACAAGTCTTATCTAGACCTGTATAGCCTTATCACATAACCTACCTCAGTAATACCCATAAGTCTTATCCTGGCCTGTAAAGCCTTCTCACATAATCTATCCCAGTAATGCGCATAAGTCTTATCCTGGCCTGAACCTTCCCCAGTAATACCCATAAGTCTTATCTAGACCTGTAAAGCCTTATCACATAAACTACCCCAGTAAAAACCTATATGGCCTGTATAGCCTTATAATGGAGTAGAGCTATTTTTTTTATCATCTATTGTATATTGTGAAATCGACCATTCTTTTTTTTTTCTTTCCCATCCAGACCTGAGACGTGTCTAGGTTTAACTCATCATGTCTGACTCTGAGAGGAAAAGCCATGTCACGGTTCATTGGTTTCGTCATGGCTTACGCCTGCATGACAACCCAGCTCTCCTGGATGGCCTTGAAGACTGCCGGGAATTCTATCCAGTGTTCATTTTTGATGGCAGTGTTGCAGGTAACCAGTTGGAGTCCTACCATGAGAAAAGTGCCAGACGGCTCTACTTTTCATTCGTCTTATGAGACAAGTATTATCTTTCATACAGAAACATTTAAATTTTCTTTTTTTTAATTGTATTTATTATTTTGATTATTATGTTTTAAACACAGTTTTTACAAGATTTTCTGGTATTTACCAGGTACTTCCAATGTTGCACTGCCCAGAATGCAATTTCTCCTTGAAACTCTTAAAGACCTTGATGACAACCTAAAGGGCCTTGGAACTCGTTTGTATGTCTTCAAGGGTGACCCTGTAGAAGTGTTTGATAAACTGATTGAGGTAACTTGTAATTAAGGTTTTTTTTTTTTTTAAACAATTTTTACCACACAAAATCTGGCTTCAATTTTCAAAATTCAAGTAAATATATTCAAATCTCTCAGTGACTTTCAGAAAAATAAATTACTTTTAAGTGAATTAAACATGTATTCTGTTATATTCAACTAAAGCACTATTTTGCCCATGAAGCCAGACTTATGGGGCTCTCAGGGTTAAACCAAATTAGTGATAACTATTTGGACCAAGACAATACACTTGGACAAGGACAATATGCTTGAACCAGGACTATACACTTGGACTAGGACAATACACTTGGATCAGGACAGTACACTTGGACCAGGACAATATGCTTGGACTGGGACCATACCCTATGACCAGGACAATATGCTTGGACCAGGACAATATGCTTGGACCAGGACAATATGCTTGGACCAGGACAATATGCTTGAACAGGGACAATATGCTTGGACCAGAGCAATACACTTGGACTAAGACAATACACTTGTACAAGAACAACACATCAGTCCTGTCAACCTTCTAGGATCACTTTTGAACTATCTGCTGTCCCCTTACTTCAGGAGTGGGGTGTGACCAGGATCACCTTTGAGCAGGACCCGGAGCCAGTTTGGCAAGAACGAGACAACAGTGTCAAAGATCTGTGTGCCAAACAAGGAGTAGAATGGATTGAGCGTGTCAGCCACACATTGTGGGACCCGCAGTTGTAAGTGTACCAGTGTATAAATCAGGCCTGAATTCCTACAAGAATTTACAAGTTGATTATCCTTAAGAAAATTCACACATGGAGCTTTATAATTTCAAAACTTGATTTGGTAATTGTAACATAATGATATTTGAAGTTAATTTGCAGTTGAGTGAAGGGCATTATTTCGTTATAGAGCATTGCTACACAGACATAAACATAGATAGTTAGGAACTACAAAACGCAGCCATATTGTTTTGAAGGAAGATAGCGGCTGGGAAGATTTGGTCTCATGTTTTTTTCTAAATGAAATGGGTGTATTATGACTGAACTGTTTTTAACCATCATGTCATTATTCATCATATGAGAACCTCATTCTCTGTAGTTTTATGTACACATAAATAAATGATATGTGAATTCTTGGACTTTGTATTTTTAAAGTTGTGAGAAATAATTAGTTGTAAACCCCCATAACTGATATTATTACTATTATTATAGGTGGTTTTATATAGGGCAGTACCCCAGCCAAGGGCTAGGCTCACTGCGCTTCACATAAAAATTAGCTATTGCAGAGATGTATGCATTTAAAAACAACAACTGGTGAAAAGCTTGACCTCCCCCACCCTAGTGCTATCTACCCCTGTCTAGCCATGGACAACACCCAGCAGCATCGAGCTTTTGGGGGGGGTGGGGGGGGGGGGGGGGGGGAATGAGTCGGAATAGTGCAGTTTGAAGAGATGGGTCTTTAGGGCAGTTTTGAGGTATCTACTCAGGTCTTAACAACTTATAACAGTAACAGTGATATCAGTATAGGAAGAAAGGTTACAGTAATATATTCATTCATATTTACTTTAATGTACTGAGGCCATGCCAAAAGTAATATAGATGGAGTGTTAAGATACTGACTATTAATAATTCATTAAATAACAAGTGATAACTGTCAATACATTCAATCAAATGAACTTATAAGTGAAATTTTGATTTTTTTTAGCATTGATTATTAAGTACCTGGCAAATATTTTTCTTTCTTTGAATCTCTATTGGATTAAAATTTCATACAGGATAATCAAAGAGAATGGGGGCAGTCCACCGTTGACCTATGCCATGTTCTGTCAAGTAACTGAGATTGTTGGACAACCTCCCACGCCAAGGGACGATCCAGACTTTGAGGGCATCACACTTCCTGTCTGTGAGGACCATGACAAAAAGTACCACCTGCCCACCCTTGCTCAATTGGGTAAGTCCTGGATCACAGTGTAGTGGTTCTCAAACTGTCACATGTGGATTAATTCCTGTTGCATTAACTTTATCATTGTAATCAGTTGTTAATTTAAACTTAGGATTGTGTACTGGTGACATTTTTCTTGTTACAACATTTAACACCATATGTTCTGTGTGACTTTATGAAATCCTTTATTTACTTATTAAAACTTAAAGGAGCACTGTAATCATGAGAATTATCACCCAAGTGTATTTTCAGTGAATTCTCAAATGTTTCCGCACAGGCGTGGAGTCAGAATCTGATCAACAGACCAGCCCATACTGTCGTTATCTTGGTGGTGAATCAAAAGCTTTGAAACTTCTAGCCACTCGCCTAGAAAGTGAACGGAGGGTAAATATTTGTCAGAGTTTCTAGATGTAGACTTTAGAGATGACATTTTAAAATACTGTTTCCTTCAGAACCTCCAACAGATATAATTTTGTAAAATAAACCAGTAAATAAATTAAAGAATTTCTAACAGATTTTAATGGCTAAACAGACGCTTTGATGCATGAAGCCCCCCCCCCCCTTTTTTTTTTCCCCCTCCCAAAGTCAGAAGGAAGAAATGAGAACAAAATGTTTTTCCCTGTACTTCATAGCCCCACCCTCTATCCCCAATTTAGAAAAACCGGATTAATTATGACCTATTAAGTACAGTGCAATAACATTACTGTTAGTTACTTGTACATTTGAATGTACTAAGGGTAAGTTTGATTTACCCGTATTTGCAGACTTGGATGTGGCTGGTATGCTGATGCTCACCTCATAACTATAACTCCCATCCCTTACTTTGGTTCATGGGGCCAAGGATGTTTTTTTTCAGGATATTTTACAGGGGAAACATTGTGTCTATTAAGCCTATTAAGCAGTGTATTATGGTAGTTTAAATGCATGTTTATTTGTGTACAAGTTGATTACCTTAAAATAATTGTTTTCATTTTAGGCCTTTAGCTTGGGTCAAAGCCTCCCCAATCAACTGTTTCCTAACCTTTCTGGAATGCCCATGAGTCTCTCTCCACACTTGCGCTTTGGCAGTATGTCCATTCGTAAATTTTACTGGTCGTTACGTGCCACTTATGCCGAGGTAATCTATGCTTTTTATTATTTAATCACTTTTCTAATTTCTGAAAGTATTTTACATACATAGCCACTTATGCCGAGGTAATCTATGCTTTTTATTATTTAATCATTTTTCTAATTTCTCAAAGTATTTTACATATACGCTCATGATATAGTGACCTCTTTTAATGGTTTTCAGTATTACTTTATACCTTGTATGTACCTTCAAACTACTTCCACTTTGCCATGCATGGTCAAAATCTATTAATAAAAATCTGGAGAAAAAACATCACAAGATATTGAACTGTTGAATATTTGGTATGTTAATTTTTCAGTAATCATTTTTCAAAGTATGTTTTTTCATTGTTTGAATCAGATATTGAGTGATATTTTGATATTTCAATTTCAATATGCTGTCCCTGGTTTATCATTACCATTCCCATCTTACCTGATGCTAACACAAAAAATTTACACACATTATTCTCTTGTTTATAATCCTCAATTTTAGTTTTTTCCACTATAACAAATATGAGATGAGGATGTTTTTGCTTTTGGGGTATTATTGGGGCATTGTTTTATCAAAAATGGAGTTGTAAAAATATGTTGACTGGATTTTTAGTAATGATCTATAACTGTGAGAGATTAGGAGTCAACCTATATCATTACAATTACAAGGGGGATAAACTTGCAGATGAATGGTGAAACAGGCATCAAGAACCATAGAAACAGTTTCAATTTCAGCATGGTAACAGTATGTTCTTGCGCAGGTACATCCCGAAACGCCTATTCCTGCTTCAATCACCTGTCAGCTGGTGTGGAGAGAGTATTTCTACTGCATGTCAGTCAACAATCCGAAATACAACTGTATGATTGGTAACCCCATTTGTCTCAACATTGATTGGTATGAGGATGATGATCAGTTTAAGAAGTGGAAAGAGGTAAAAAAAAAAAAAAATTTAAAAAAAGGAAGACTTTTAATAAGATAAAGTCTAAAGAGCTTTAAAATAACATTTTTTAACAGTAAGAGCTGGCACACTATTTAGGATGGTGAATTTTTCATTAATAATTCACATCGCCCTGAAGGAATATGGAAACATTTAAGTCTTCCCGCAATCAGCCAGAGATGTCATCTCAGTGATAAATACTGAAATTATTATCAGTATTAAACAGTAATATTATAATTATAATCTATATATATAACTCGTCAGCAAAGGTCAAACAAGACGGGTCAATCACCAAGCAGGCTATTTATAGATATGCCAGAGCATGATTCAATAATGAGTTCAATAACACGCAAAATATAATTCCTGATAACTACGCTAAATGATTTATATCTATTTTTAATAACCCAATTGCGTTTGATGCGTAATATTTTCTTTTCGGAAATGAAATCGTCTCAATTTAAGTATTGTGTAAAAAATATTCGGTTTATAAGTGCTTGGGACATGAGAATATTAATATAGTTCATAAGATAAGATAAGATTCTTTTATTGATCCAAATAAATGGAAATGTTTTTTGATTGCATTATACATTTTCAGCACATAAATAAAACAATTTGAAGACAAGACATTTATAATAAATTATTTCAAACATTCGGTGAGTTCTCTTAGCAAAATCGGGGACTTATTATCTCATTCAGATGTGTGACTTTAGAGGAAGCACGCCGGTAAATTCGTTCAGATTGGGGAACAAAATAATTTTTATATCGGTCAGTCCTCGCCCTGATGGAAAGAATTCGTCCCAAACAGCCCGATCCTTAGTATTTGTGATGAAGAGGGTGGGATGTATCATCCAAAATTTGTTTAGTTTTACAAAAACATCTTTCTTCAAATAGTTCTTCAAGTGAAGGATGTTTAGTTTGTGTTATGTTCCTAGCTTTCTTGATTAGTTAGTTTCTGCGGTGTTTAATATCAGACGTTGAATTCCCACAGAAGCAGGTAATACTGAAATTAAGCAGGCTTCCAATTGTTGCACTGTAGAATAAGTTAACGACTTGCGTGAAATAAAAAGTGTGCAGTGACGTATCATGGAGGTGGGGGGTGGTGTAGCAAAATTGCATTCTTAAATGTGCGTAACTAGAGTTCACGTTTTTGTCAAGTAACTTTAGTAGATAGGAAGTTCACGCATTGCTGTCGCCAATGTTTGGCGGGCTTCATCTAGTTGTTAATAATTTTGGGGGATAAATTAAATGAGATGGGCTTTGATTAATTATAGGAAATAAAGTTTCTGAGTAACTAATTTTTTTTTTGTCACAGGGCAAAACTGGGTATCCATGGATTGATGCCTGCATGCGCCAGCTAACACAAGAGGGATGGATCCACCAAGTTTGTCGTCATGCCACTGCTTGTTTCCTGACAAGAGGAGATTTGTGGATTGATTGGGTCAAAGGGCTGGAGGTTTGTCATTTGGACAATTGCTATACCGTATTCATATCTCACCAACTCACTCTGGTGACAAATGTTTTATAATTTGTGTTGTTTTTTTTTTAATTTAACCCTCCCAATGGCTGGGGTCTTTTTGTCTATAATTTTAATAATGTTACTCTTAATCATTTGGTTTATTTTAACATATTTAACTAAGGATAATTCTTATTTTCTGAATTTGTAAGTACCAGTATTTAGAATATTATCTTGACTAAAGTAAAATTAACATAGCTTATCGTGAACTGATCAATTCATTTTTAAAAAATTGTTCAGGTGTTTGATCGCTATTTGCTTGATGCTGATTGGTCAGTGAATGCTGGAAACTGGATGTGGGTATCCAGCTCAGCCTTTGAAAAGGTTTTGCAATGCCCCAGGTGCATTTGTCCTGTTGGTTATGGTCGACGCATGGATCCAAAAGGCAACTATGTCAGGTGATCATGGGTTTCATTTTCATTCCATCCCAGACCATATTATGCTAAAATTTCTTGACTAAGCTCAGTCTTTAATTTCAAATTTCTTTCTGCTCTTTTCTTGTTTCATAACTAAGTCATCAAAAACTGCAATGGTTTTCAGGTAATTTGTTGGGTTTTTTTTCTTCAAAATGTTAAAGAAATTCATTAGAAATTAAAAAGATCAAGAATAAAAAGACTAATTTCTTTTTCTGAAGTTTATGGACCTCGACAATAGGAAACATCTATTCTAAATGTCATTACAAATACTAGGAGGACTATAAAAGCAAGACTGCATTAATTTCTATCTCTCCTCAAAATAGTTATAGTTATTGCCTTAAACAAGGATAGTCAGGAGAGTGTCGTTTGTGCTGGGTGCAATTTTTGAGATCAGTAAAATTGCTATAGTGGATCATAATCACATAGCAATAATGCTTAGTTGGTTCAATAAATGAAGCTGCAGCATATGTAGAAATATAGCAGAGTCTTAGGTTGTAGACAAGCCCGCCTTTCCCTTAGACTAAAGAGGTCATTTAAATTATTATCAACATCTTAGTAGCTTAATTAATTATTTATTAATAATAATAATAAACAAATATGTTAGAAATATAATGCATACACCTCAAATTCTGCTTCATCACAATACTATTTTATAGACCAATAAGGTGTAATAGAAATAGCATTAATGTTTGAAATCTGCAGACGATATGTACCAGAACTAAAAGACATGCCTCTCAAGTATTTGTTTGAGCCATGGAAGGCACCCTTGAAGGTACAGGAAGAGGCCAATTGTATCATTGGAGAAGATTACCCCCAGCCAATGGTAGACCATAAAGTGGCTTCTAAAGAATGTCAGATAAAGATGGATAAAATCAAGGCAAAATCTAAAGGTGAGAAATAAATTTAAAAACTTGGCAAATATGAAACATTTCAATTACATTGTATGGCTGACTTGTCCATAGTTTTCATAACGTAATATAAAGACCGCCCGAAAGTAATTTGCTGATTTCGGCCAAAAAAAAGTTTTAAAAAGGCTTTCGGCCAAAAGGCTTTCGGCCAAAACCGAAAGTAAACCAAAACTGAACTTTTCAGTGTTGACCGAAACCCAAATTAAACCGAAAGTTAACTTTTCAGTTTTCAGCCGAAACCGAAGCCAAAAAAATTATATCAATACTCGTTTTCGCACACGTTCTGCTCACTGCGAGAAATGATGGAACAACTTTTGTGACAACTTTTATTCATCTCATATGACTCTCATACAATTTATCCAATGAAGTAAACCTTCTCCCCTTCTTTGGCTTTTAACATTTGCATGAAAAAATAATTTAAACCTGATAAATAATAAAATTTAAATTAGTATTTTGATTTAAAATTTGACTGGGGGAAGGGAAAAATTCATGCAAACTAGACCCTTCTTTTAAAATATAATTAAAACGCATCTAAACATATAAAGGGAATCGGCCGAGAGCTTAGGCTATCTATTGTTTAATGGTATCGCAGATTTAAAATGTCCACACACAAGACTTGAAGAAACTCTTTTCTTCTGAGAACCCATACATTTTTTGTTGAAACTTGTGTTCTTATTGGTCGACCTGAAATTGTTTGTTTAATGCAATCATCATTTTTCTGCTAATTTTAGATTTGACCTAAATTGAACAAAAGTTTAGCGAATGTTGGTTTAGTTTGAAAATACAGTCCCATTACATAATAATAATTATTTACGAAACAGTGATACACACATATGAGTGTACCCTTATGATTTAAATTAAAGGCAACTTTTGCCTAATTATAAAAAATTGAACAAGTAATGATTTTTTACTATTTTTATTAAATATTACGAAATTTTCATTCTTGTCTTTCTTTACATTTGTTTCCATACACTTCACACTTGACTAATTTGGTGTGATATTCTAAACTTTTATCTCGATGTCAATTTATGAGCCCGATAACGCTAATGTCAATGAATTAATTAATTGAGAAAGCCTAGGGATCCCAAATTAAAAAGAAACAAATAATAATGTAAAAAATAATAAAGGAAATCTTACAATTCCCCAAGATTTTTTTTTTTTCACAATGCTAGTTACCTTGGACTATAACCAATGTTCCCTCTAAGGTTTGTTGGTTCGTGTGCAAAATCATAAATTTGTGCACAAATTTTACAGCCTACAGACACACCCTGAAGTGGAAATTAGCTGTGCGGTACTCAAAACATTGACTATAACTACATTTTTAGCAAGATAATGACAAATAAATGACTTGAATAATCCTAGTGTTCCCAATTGAGAAAAAAAAAAAAATAATAATATAAATATTACCTTTCCCCATAGTTTTTTTTTCCCACAAAACTATTAACAATTCCTTTTGCCTTATTGAAATTTCATTTCTTAAAATATTGGACAAGTCATGCAGCTGTGAACAGTGTTGGCAAATTATTTGTTATATATTACCGATGACAGCAATACACCGAGCAATAATTAATATCGGATTGCCAGCCGTCATAATGACAATCTGACATCTGGTAGAAGACCGAAGGAAATTTTCACTTTCGGCCTCACGGCCGAAAGTCTCAATCACTTTCGACCGAAACTTAACTTTTCAGTTTTGGCCAAAACAGAAACTAAGCCAAAAGTGACCAAATGGAAACTTTGGGCACCGAAACCGAAATTCGGTCAGTCTCTAACGTAATATATATTTGTTTAGTTTAATTGTAATTCAATTTATTTTGTTAAATGTGTTGTTTTTTTTTAAAAAGTAATGTTGGTGTATTTATTTAAAATAAACTTCCAAAAATCTAAACTAGTCACTTGTTGGATCTATCCTTTTTTCTAGTTCTTAAAAACCGGTCCATATTTATGGCAGAACCTGACACCAGTCAGATTTTCAAAAATCCTCTTTTCGCTTTCTGGGGGGACAAGAGCCTTAGGGGTGCTTTTTAAAAGCCTCCTCCCTGCTATTAAATCACAAATAGGCACCAAAAGTTGTGACTGCAGCATAGTAACACATGTCCCTATGTGGTTTAAGTTGATATGACCACTTTCCCTCTGGAAATATTCAGAATCAAAGATGATTTAACTTGCACAAGTTCAGTTACTTCAACACTTCAAGATAATACATTCAAATGCTCTAACTTTTTTTTTAAACCACAGACATTCCACACATCAGACCAGCCAATGAGAATGAAATCTTCTCATACATGTGGTTTACCAAAGAGTTTGAGAAGATTGACTTGTGCAATCACAACAAGGACAAATGTTCGTAAGTGGAATAAATTAAGCTTAAAATTTTATGAGATTTGGAGATATTTTTCAGTAAAGGTTCACATCAAGAGTTGGTCTTAAGATTGCAAAGTCAGATTAGATTATACTCTTTTTATTTTCAAAACATATGGAAATGTCAAAAGGAATATTAATTAATGCTAATTTGTTGGTTCCTAAGAGGAGGTCCACATATAAGATTTAAATTTAAGAATAATTATAAAAAATAGTTTAGGGGAGGGGGTGGGGTGTTCAGAATTTTGGGATTCACTGTACTGGGTTTTAACATGGGAAGGATGGCAGTAGGCTTGTATGACCGCCAACTCCATATATCATGGTCATTCAAAGTAATTTTTAATAGGTACCCATATTGTAAACAAACTTTTTAGGTCTGTTTTATAATTTTTTACAACTAAAAATTGATTTCAAATCTCTGTTAAATAAGACATGATTTTTTTTTTCTACAATATAGGGAGAACGGTATCAATATGTAAATGTAAGGGAAAGTTTCTGGCCAGAGATAAACTTCTCAGCCCTAGGTTTCAACTGGTTGTGATGTGCCAAGATGTTTTGGACTTTGTGAAGTTTATCTCAAGGGAAGACAACATTGCTCTCTTAAGAGATTGATACCATTTTCAACTATATGGCTGTTGTTTTAGTTTTATCCATCATATTGTTCAGAACATATTTTATGTTCACGAGTTTTAGTTGTTGTGAATTGTGATAAATATTTGTAAGATAAATATATACTTTGTGTTATAAGTTATAACAGGACAACTTTTCTTTTAATTTATGAGATTTATAGAGTAGGTCGCCTTTAATGTTTCAGACCATTTGCATTCAATCAATCCATTGTGAACCTAAGATTTCTTTTATTGTTATTTTCTGTCTCGGGTTAATCCTGTAGTATAGGCCAAAACGTGCCGAAGTGTTCTCGTTTTATAGCCATTTTAATTGTTTCTATAGTATAGTAGTTACTATCCTAATGTCTCATTTTTTATTTTAGTTAGTTTACATGTTTTTAGTAATTGTAAAGCGCTTAGAGCTTTAAGGTTAGCGCTATATAAAAATGCCTAAATAAATTAATAAATATTGAGGCTTTCATTTCCCTAAAAGAATCATTACAAATTATGCTAATCCTATTCAAGATAAAATAAATAAACTTTTTATCGGCTTTTAAATTGGTGGCCCAATTCACAATAGGTGATTCACTGATTGAAATATTTTATTATGTTCCTTTATCACTGAATAGATTAAAAGTCATTTAATATTTTAATTATTCACTAAGATATCTGCTCAAATTTTAAAAAAAAAGTTCAACAGGTAAAGATCACAAAATATCTGTTAGTAGATTAGCATTTTTTTGTACCACATTGAGAACGACTGAGCTGTAAAGTGGTTTGTTGACAGGCCAAATGATTATTTAGAAAATTTCTATAACAATGTTTAGAGTTCTCATTTTATTGGAGATTTTTTTTTAATTTTTCTATTGCAGATGTACAAGTACTTAATTTATTTTAATCTGTTTCAGATATCTAGTATGATGCTAAGTTTAAATTCCAAGTGTGATAATAATGAGGTGTCATGTTTTGTTGATAACTGTGTCACCTGTAAACTTTGCCTTTATATGTTAGATATTGTTATAGTTATTGCTGTATCTTAAAAAGAAAGTGTGTGATACAATAATTGTTGTAAAATAAGCCCACCATTAACCCTTAATTCAGAATAGGGACCAAGTTAAAGTTTGATATTTGCTGCCTACATTATTTGATAACCGAAATGAAATTCTCTGCTCATGAATTTTCTAATAGTACTAATAGAAGATATTTTAAAACTTTTCAATCGGATTGGAGAAAATAGATGTATACAAATTTTCAAAGATTTATTTTGCATTCTTTGACATTCATATCATATTAGATTCTTTGTTTTTATAGTTGCCTGTATTAAATTATAACATTTCATGGCTGTTAAAGCAAAAATATTCACTGTGAATCTAATCTTTTTGGTTTCATGGATGAACAGAATGAACATTTTGTAAAAAAAAATAATTCTTATTTGATTATAATAAAAGTAAAAATAAAATGTTGCTTTATTTATATTTAAATTTGGTGTTTTTTTGTGTCTCATTTAAGAAATAATCTTGAAAGATAAATTTTATTGAATGAACAACTGTTGCAAGAAATGAAAATGAGTGTTCGAATGTAAGAGTTAGAGCTGCATTGTTCTAGAATAAAATTTATATTTTATTGAAAATATGAATCCAAGTAAAGGAAATATTAATTGTGTTAAAAAAGTAACTAAAATGTAACCACACACTTGCTGTTACATTTTCATGACAGTTAGTTTTAATTTGTTCTCCAAAATGACGCTATATAGAGCTGCAGGGATGAAGTACAGGAATACAACATGACGCTGTAAGTATGTGACGTGAACGTGTAACTAATTTTGATTTCTTTTTTTTAAACTAAGCTATAGGCCTAAATATAACTAGTAGGCATAAACTAGAACGCATGGAAAAGGCATGGCTTTCCAGTACTTTTATTTAAATATATATTTTATTGCTAATAAATAGACAATTTTTTTAATTTTCAAGCGGGGTGGGTGGGGGGTTTCCTAGGTAGGCACTGAGTTCCCAGGTCTTGACTCCAGCAAAGAAATGAAATTATGTGAGGTTTAAAATAGTTAAGGCTGTGGTCTTGAAATCTGAAATAATTAGCTTATTTGTTGAAAGGCCGGTACGGTATCTAAAAATTTTTAAATAAAGACAAATCCTATTTGGAATAGTATTCTGATGTCGATACTAATGCCAACATACTATAGTATCTATAAATATGATTATGATCAACATTACGGCGCAGCAATACCCAGTCTCTATTTATATTATAATTAACTTATAATTAAAATGTTTTCATGATTATGGCCCTACACTGACTAATACATTACATTATTTTAGCAAAATTTAATGAGTGTAAATTAAAATAGTTGTATAATTTTTAGTTATATAAAATTTTAACTTGTTGATTAACAAGCCAAAGATGCAATAAATTGTTTCTCCTACAATTTTGTGTCATTAAAATAGATCAGCACAAAGTAAAATGTATTTATTAAATATTTCTTTATATTATAATTCTTTCTTTTTTTTTGGGGGGGGGTGGGGGTGTTATAAAAAATGTTGATATAATTACTCAGGGTGACGGGGGGGGGGGGGGGGGAAGGTAAATTGCTTTAAAATTGTTGATGTAACTAATGGACACCCCTTAACATCCCTGTCAATAGACACCTATATATTAACCGTGTGTGACGTCACACATAACCTTTTCCCCTCCCAAACTGTCACAATTTCTTAACCCCCCCCCCCACCTTTCCGGGGCTTGGTGTGCTTTATGAACAGCTTTTAAATATAATTAATAATGCCTTCCTTAATTATAAAAATAAATTTGATACTTAATAAATTGAATGAGCCCTATTCTTAAGGTAGATACTTTGATACAAAATTTAAATATTGTCCAATTGCCATGAATGATACATCATTTTAAAGGGGTAGCTATAAGCTTTTTAACAACACTATCAGTTCATCCACCTTCAAGAATGCCTCTCTCCTGTCCTCCGTCCTTGCCTTTAGTGTAGCTTCGAGTTGAAATACCTCCTGCTGTAATTTGGTGACCTTCTTCTGCAGGATTCGCTTGCTTCTGCTCAGTATGCTAACCTTTTCCATCTTTGTTGCTGATATTCGCAGCTTTTGTTCCAAGTGTCGAACCTTATTCTTAAGCGCCATCTTCTCTCGTTTCAATGTCTCGACCCTCATTGTCTTTCTCTTTAGGCTCTGAGTCCACACTTTCATTTCAGGGGACCGGCAGAGAGACTTGGCATTCAATTTAACTCTTCTTACCTTGTCCTCCAAGGACCGGCACCTGATGACAAACCTTTTTCTAATTATGTTGCTCTGTTTACAGTCAGTCCGCAACTTCTTAAGTGGTAGGGGAGCCTCTACCTGTTGCTGAGATACCTGCGGAAGAAAACAATCTTGTGTTCCGTCCTGTTGAGCTTCCTGTGGAAAAAAACACTCATCATTTTTTTCTGAAGATGTAATATCGACAGAGCTGGTGGAAGGCAATGGCTGCTTCTTTCTGGAAACTGGAACTCTAAATGGCTGCAACAAAAAATTCTGGATGTTGTTATTATTCCAGTTTACCTTCAGTCTCTTTTTAAAACCTGATAGACTGCTTTCCAAAGATTTCAGATTGCCAACAATTGATTTCTTGTTAGACACATAGCTCCTATCCTCTTGCATGAAGCACTCATCAAGTACAGATGCAGCATATTTCATGCCTTCCTTCTTGCTGGTTCCCTTGGTGTAGAGAAAGACAGCATACCCATTCCTATAAACTTTGTTGGCAGCATCTTGAGCAAAGCTTGCCACAAAATTATTTAACTCAGATGTTTCATATTCGGTAGACATTCTTAGAATCTTTGAAACTGCCAAATGAGCCAAATGAACGGAAAATATAATTAATTTTAATAATATCTTATATGAATATGATAAACATAAACATTTTATAATTAGGCCCTATGTCTAAGTCTAAAATTTAATAATTAATTAATTGGTATTTACACATTCTATCACATTAAATTTTTTTTAAAATCTATAATAAATTCATTTATAATAATAATATATTAATTATACTATTAATTATATGCTGATAAAGTACAGTCTACATTTATTCATTATAAATAATAGAGGCTTGGCCTATACCTATAATTGATAAGCTATTAAATTACTATATTAAATAATTTATAATATTTATATGATCTTGCCAATGCTATACATTAGTTATAAAATAACTATAACTGTTTCCCATTCAAAAACTGAAGCTAATTAATGTTTCACGACAAGATTTCAAAAAATAAACAATTAATGAAAATCTCTTTAGACTTTTAGATATTACTTAAGTCAAAATAATTACAGCCATTTCCCACAACCCATTTAAAAAAAAAAAAAAAAAAAAATTGTCAGGGGAGATGACTGGTGGCAACTTGGCAACTGACATTTGAATTTTCTTAATTTCTTACACTTAACGGGCCACGGGAAAATTCATAACTTTTGGGGGGAATAGCTATTATTAATGAAATAAAGTTATTAACAATTGGGAATAAATGAAACAGTCCCGCGTTATAGCGCGATATAACCGCTATTTTACATTAAAATGTAATACGGTTATAAGTACATAGTATGTAAATACCGATCTCTAATATTGTATTAAATGCGCTGACGGTAAAAAAATCCACCATGCAGCGAAAATGGTGCCAAAAGCTTTGGAAAACATGCGTTCTATGTCACTAATGATCAAACAATTAAATAGTAGAAAACTGTGACGAAAAACGCAAAAAAATTTTTTTTTAAAACGGCATCATTGACCAACCAAATGCTACATTGCCATAAACGGGTTTGCGTCATTTTTCGGTATGGGCATTTAAAGCACTTTAAGTGTCTAAAGTTTAAGCCAATTTTCACTGACTGATTCATCATGCCAAATCTGCTAGACGCAAGGCATCGTTTATTTACAAAATTTACATAAGTTATATCTGACTCAAGTCTGAAACCAATTTATTAAAATATATCTCACAAGTAGGCCCAACAAATTGCCTACACCAAATCCCTTTTTAAAAAAAAAAAAAAAATAATTTAAAAAAAAAAAAAAAAAAAAAATTTTTATTTTGACATCATAAAATAGTGTACCCCCCCCCCCCCCTCCAAAAAAAAGAGATTGAGGTTGAATGCAAAAGATAGATCTTAATTTGAATCATTTCTATGGTAAACAATATGGCCGTCATCAAGAAAAGTTATTAATCTATGAATGAAAGGCCTAAGCCTAGTCGGCCAATGATAATGGTTTGTGGAGCTAATTGTTTATTAACGATTGTGTATTAAATATGCCCTCAAAAAGTAGTAGACTACACTGCTAGTGCTAGTATCAATAATATGAATATGCCGTGTTAAATGTTGGAAACGGTGACCTGCTATATAAATATAAGCCTAAAATTATAATTATAAATTTTAGACATAGTTTTCTAAAGTTAAATTGTTATATTTAATAAGTTGAATAAGTTAAAATAGTAATAGGTTTAATTACTTTAACTTAATAAGACCATAGAAGCCTGCCAAGAAAGGCCTAAAAGACTTTAGTTAGGTACTTTGACTTTGATAATGAATAATAATGATAAGAATAAGAAAATTAAAACTTTTTATAAAAATAAACCAATGCCATTGGCAATGGCATAGTTGAATAGAGCTAATTTGTTTAAAGAATTATAACACCAAAATCATATTTTTAACTGTTGTAGTTTTAAAGTTATGAATTTTTAAAGTACAACTTAATTTGTCCTTTTTTAACATGGACCCCATCTCCACATTCTGTGACCCAATTCTGATGTTCGCGTCACGAGCTATATAACTCTTGTTTTAATGATAATTTTATTTTCAGAACTAATGCTGTATTTAAAATAATTTTAATAATGTTAACAATTATAGATAAATTGTAGCTTATCTAACTATGCACTATTTATATCAGTAAATTTAAAATAATGTATTAATATATGGCTTTTCAGTTTACCAAATCTACGACGTCCATTATACCGATATATTTTATATAGTCTATATAAGGCAACTCATGCCCTAATTACTAAAATACTGTTTGGGAACTATTGAACTTTCAACTTTAGTACATGACTAATTAATTAAAGCTTTCCCTGACCTAGTTTAATAGTTTTTGCACACGGCAAAATTTTATGAATGAAAACTCTAGAGATAGTAGTAAATAATAACCATTATGCAAGTCACCGTGAATGGCCCCCATGGCATTTTGCACATGGCAAATTATGATCATTTAAAGTAGGGACTCTGTCAGGTTTTTTAACCTCTTTCAATAACATTTAAGTTCATTCTAAAACATAAGTTATCAAATATTTTGTTGTAAATTGGGGAAATAATTGAATATTTTTTAAGTAACGGCGTCTTCCGTTAATTAAAAGGGGCGTGGCCACTTCCTTATTGAAATTGGGCTGAGCTACATTACCATACAGGGGTTTACTCAAATGAGAATAACAAGTGATCGACATGTCCTAACACAATGAGAATTGACACAAATACACATCGATAGATAATACAGAATAAGACTTTTTTTTAAGGACATAAAAGTTGAACTTCTATACGAATTTTATAGTGAAAGATGCCTTATATTTAAAGGGGAATCTCAAAATACAGGTCGATTGAAAAATTAAAACAAGATGTCTACCTAAATATAAGGCCGCAAACGAACTCAAATATATGTTGAAAGTACTCATTTAATAATAAATAGACACACACATCGGAAAATTAAAAACTCTGATTTTTTGGTGCCGATTTCCATTTCCAATACACAAAAAGTTGTAGTCTCCCTTGTTTCATCGAAGTAGTTTTAAACTTTAGTAGTCTAAAAGTTGTTTTAAGACAAGACTAGTAAGTCTAAGTTAAGTGTAAAGTGTAAGGTAAGATTCTTAGTTAGACAGACTGACTAAACACCCAAACGTAACAAAATTAAGTAACAAGTAGTAGCCGCTGGTGGTTCAAGTTTTAAACTTTTTCCTGAGCCTGAGCTAGAAATGTGAGAAGCGATCTGATTAGCCAGCCAATCTCGAGGTTTGTATGGGCATGGGCAGATGAATCTGCCATTCATATTTTCACCTCTAGACAGAGAGATCAGCCATGAGGTTTAAACAAGTTATCAATTATATTTTACCTCACAGACATAGAAAATAGTAGAGTCCAATGTTTCCTCTATGTCTAAGGTTTGCTGGTTCGGGTGCAAAATCATACCCCTTTGTGAAAAGTTTTACAGCATCTATTTTCTGTGTACAAAATGTTACAGCCCACAAACACACACGCACACACAGAAATTACATAAATGAACTTAAGCGCAAAAGTTTTTATATAAATAAATAAAGGAACTAAAATTAATTAATTATAATCAGAAATGTCACAATAATTCAATCAATGCTATATTTATTTCTATTATTTGTCCTGTTGTTGGGTCAAGGAACTAAATTCCAACACACCCAGTACCCAACGCCACTAGTCATTTGATGGACTCATTTCTGGAGGTGCTTTGGTGTCTGTCTTTCAACTATATCCATCTTTTATACACATCGTCAAGGTTGATCTGATATCCATCATTGTGATACGATTTAATCCTTATAAGCATGTGTAAATGTAACTCTTCCAGCCTATTTCTAGATTTTATTTTCATATTATTATTTTGACTGAACCCACGTACACAATGGGCGCTTGTTGTAAGAAATGTAGCACAAATATCCAACAGAATGGTAATGTCATCGAATTTCTCCTCATTTATTACAAATCGAAAAATCTCTTTGAAAGTCTGCATAAATCTACATTTTATATTTTCTACAAGCACAAATCTTAAGTTACGATACAGATCCTTAACTTTCAACAGAATTTCATCAAAGTTTTCCAGGAATGCCGCATATCTGGAAACCAGTGCTGGAAGTTCTTCTTTGTCAAAATTTAAATCTGAAGTGTCGATTAACGCTGATATCTCAAAGACATGCATTGCATTAACTCATTTTTATTTTTAGGGAAACAAGAGTCTAGGTGCAAACATAAACCTTCAAGGATGGAACATGTTGATATTTATCCTTGTCATTTGCAAGCCATTTTGCAACCACTTCGAACCAGTGCCCATTTTCACCAAGGTACTGGGCACGGAGCTTAGCGATCCTTTCTTTTACAAACTGGTATGCTTCGATGGTCCTAAGATTTTTTGTTTAATTTGTAGCAGTGTGCATAATTCAGCAAGTTCACCAAAAAATGAACAACTTCATTAAAGAAAAATCAGTGCTGTTCGAAAGTGCGGATCCCTTAGTTTCTTTAAACAGTACTTATGAACTGGATCATTATACAGGCCCACCAGCTCCTGAAATATTACATTCACTGTAAGGGACCGAGCTATTGCTCTTTAATGGCCCCGGCAAGTATGGAACAGGCCTGCCTCATCTGCTGGGCAGTCCCGTAAATCAGGCTTTCGACGTGGTTGGCTGGGAGCACCACAGTCACACCAGTCGCTAATGTAGAGCACTCGGATAGTATGTGATCTAATGTCTCTGGCCCCTTTTCCACAATGGCGGCAGCTCGGGTCCTGCAGCTGGTGCAACCTATTCAGGTAGCTCCTGGTAGGGCAAAGCTCTGTTCTCCTTTGGGTGATGAGAGTCTGCTGGTGGCTTTTAAGACTCCACCATTGATCACCTTTGCGGTTTGATTTTGGCATGCTCTGGTAAAGTTTTCGGGCAGTGGTACCCTGTTCCCATTCTTTAATCCATTCCTCATGGAAGAGGTCCTCACAGTATTCAGTCAACGCCTGTATGTTTCTCAGCAATGCTTGTGAAGCGAAGTGCAGCGATAGCCATCTGATTTCATTCAATGGTCTAAATGCTACGGAATTACATTCCAACACCTTAGCTAGTTCGGTAAACTAGGCTTTCCCTACTGTCGACCTACTGAACAATGTGTACACTGTCCTAAGGAATGTTTCAATGTCTGCCATTAAACTTATATGTTTGCAAGCATAACCGATGCCTAAATCTTCATGAAGAACAATACAATCTTGTTCCAGTTGATGTGGAACAGATCGATGAAGAATTGCTGAACTCCATTGTTCTTGCCTAGCGTAACCGATGAACCATCAGAGGTAAACATAACCATTTTCTGCATGGTCCATGAATTCTCTTGATAAAACTCTGTTATTGCTGATTCCACAGACTTACTGTACATACTGACAGAGACAAAGTTCCAACAAATACTGTCATGCAAACATTACCAGGATATGGCAGAAACTTTGCATATAAGATCAACATTTTTGTCAGTGATAATTCAGTGCTCTCACCTACTGTTAAAGTGTGAAACTTTGCATTGCGAAGTTCACTAATTATAGGATCCTTCACTACATAATCGATAGAATCAACAAACTCAAAAGTGTAATTCTTACTGCACCAGCTATCAGGGACTTGAGCCTACTTAGTCATATGGTTGTTTATGTATAGACCCGCATTCATATGTGTTCAAGTTGATAGCCAAAAGGACAATATTAATAGAAATTTTAACCTGGTCTTCTTTAGCACTTTTATGTTGTGCTGTTTCTTGTCTCATACCTCGATCAGCGACACTTTCTGTAAGCATTCGCAGTACACCCCCTGACTGTATAGAACAAAGTCTCTGTACAGCATCAGTGAGTATTTTTTGTTTGATATACCGTTTAAGATCATCCTGTTTCCAAGCCTCCAAACTTTTCCCTTTGGAGAAATCGCCAACTACATTAGCTTTGAAGCACATTTCACAGAAGATATCATCATCATTTTCACTATATTTAAAAATATCACCCAGCTTGACGACGAATCTGGTAGTGCTGCATGCACATATTCATTGAGCCATTCCGTTTTAAAATTTGATCTACACTTTTTCTTAGCAAGCCATGACAGTTCACTTAACTGACTGACATTTAGACATAACGGTTAAAACATTATTAAAAATAATTAGCTACTACATTTATAATAAACTAGAGATAAGCGATTTATACGCCATGAAATTTACATGAATGATGGGGGTGGTTCAAAACAAGGCTAACTTGATCTAATATGTATCAGTAAGTATGTAAATCAATAGTTAAAGGGAACATTGGTAGAGTCATCAGGTCATTAATACTCAGAAATCTGATAATATTTTGTTAATATTTTTACTCTATAAATTATTTTTATTTTTGGAACATGGTACGATTAGGCTTGAAAGTAAAAGACGATAATTAAACCAATATTTCAGCTAAATGCCTACTTCAGCAGACAATACAATACAATAAACAACAGATACATTTTTTAAAAGCTGGTGTGTTTTCGAAGGTTTAATTAAAGTCAATGTAGTTCAATGTTCAGAACAGGCACCACTCTATGGTATTTGTTAGACACGGACGTTGTGTTATTCAAAACCAAAACATGCATCCCACATTATTCTGTGGTGCGTGCAATCATAGTAAAAGAATATATGTTTTATTAATGTAAAATTTTAAAAAGCAAAAATTGAGAACTGAAATGGAGGGAAGTACTAAAGACTACTACTTAGGGCTAATTAAAATAGTTTGGCCCTAAACAAATCTTGATCCACTATTTATTTACTTTACATGGCTTGAATGCAGTCCATCATATGTTATGCTCTATTTTGGTAAGTTCTGGTCAATAAATGCGAATTCTTTATAACTCTATTTTGTACATTTTAATTTTAGGCAAATAGGCCTATACTTTATATTATTATTGTGAACTGAAATATGCAACATAGAAACCTAAGGCTCTTAAAATAAGTTTTAAACTGTAATGGAATTTTTCTTTTCAGAATGTCTCAAAAAGAACTTAAATTGGTCAACTTTGTTTTCTTAATTTGGAAAAAATAAACATTTAATTCAAGATCTAAAACCACCAGATTATGGCATCATCACAACCTAGTAGTGCACAGAGCCGCACTAGGTCACTGAGCTCAACTGGTTCACGTAGCTCAAATACACCTCCTTCTAGCGCTGGAAAAGCCGGTGGAGGAAGGAAGAGACCAGAAGCTGACACTAGACAGACCAATGCTGGAAAACAACAGAAGCCTTCTGACAGACTTAATCCCAAAACGATTGATCCTGTAAGTGAGCAAATATTTGTCCATATAGATGTTGAAAATCATTCATGCTAACCTCTAGGAGTCCAAAGTCTTACACACCCACACAGACCCTGTATTTTCAGATATAAAATTATAATTCTCTTCAAGGAAGATGCGATCTTTCTCAATGCCAGGCTTTTGACTAGCCATCATTTTTTGCTAGTGACCTACTCTTGTCAAAAATGTTTCTCTAATCACTTTTTGCTTCCTTTCAGTACTTTCAGAGCGAATTTCTTCCATATTAAATTAAGGCAATATTATTAGGTATTTGCCTGATTAAAAAATAAGATAGTTTTTCATTTTACTGTTACTAAATTTTATAAGAAGCTTATGTATTTTAAATGAGCTCAGTAAAAATGTTATAAATTATTATTACCATATTTAAAACATTTTCTGGGATAATGATAATGTTTTAATTAATTATTCATTAACATCTTTCCCTTTCAAAGTTTTCGAATGGTTCAAAAGCTCAGTCAGCATTTGCATCAGTTTATGCTAATGGAGGAGTGCCCTGCAGGTTAGTAAAACGTATCACTTAAGTGAAAGATGGTAGCGTGGGTATCATATGACAGTGATTTTTCTAAAAAAATATATTTCTATTTAAGGTCTTCCTTATTAATATAATGATCCTATATAGTTCAGTGTAATATATAACAGCATTGCCACGGGACAAAATGAGTTCATCAAAGTATGTTTGCTGTCAACAAAAGAGGTTGCTTTTATTTTTAAAATTATTATTTATTATATACCTTTATTGTATAAAACTTAAGAATTGAGATGTGCTTCATCAACCATTGTATGTGAAAGACAAAGCTAGAAAGGAGAATGAGAATGACAATATTCTAAAATAGTTTAAGCAAACCAGATCTTTTAAATATCCCTTTGATTAATTTAGTTTTTATTTCACTTCAGTTTTTATGTCACTTCAAATTCTAAAAATTATGCAGGCTTGTCCATGGTAGTGTCAAACACAAACTGGCATGGGACACACCACCAGAACAAGTTCTCTTTGATCCAGTGCTTGTCACCTTGGCTGAGGTATGTGCATGAGAAACATTTGCATCTTCTTAGCCAGTTGGTTGATATAGGAGTATGAAATTTAAAAATAAATTCCCTTTGATGATTATTCTCATTTGTTTAAACCTTTCATGCTTAACCTACACTGGTTAATACTCTTTACACTCTCACATAGACTTCCTGAAACCCTATACAACAATAAAAAGATCTTGCACACACAAAAATTAAAAGCAAAAAATTAATACCTTTCATCATTAACTATTTTTGGCAAGACATCACAATGAAATTATATGATGATGTGGCCAGCATTTAGCAAAATGCTAGTACTAAAAATATAATTATATCAAAAATATTTTTAATAGAAAGTCAAATAACATTAGCTCTCTTTATTTCTTGTTAAGATTGTCTCAAAATGACATTTTGGAACATGCTTAAACCAGGCTTTATAAAATTAAAAAAATATGGGGGGGGATTGTGCTTCTTGTCATGGATGCTTAAAGCAGCTAGAAACATTGGTTAATCTCTGCATTTGATTTTCAATAATTTTTTTTTAAATTCTCAGTTTTGTTTATGTAAATACAAGAGTTTTTCAAAATGAATTGCACATGGTGTATTTTTTTGTATGCTAGGGCCTGAAGGAAACTGCCCATCCCTACACTTTTGTCTCTTACATGGGCTTCAGAGAGCTTCTAGACACACCAGGGGCATCTCAGAAGGCTACTCCACTTTTGCCAAAGTTGGCTCCACCTATACGTGGTGCCCTCGTAAGTAGCATTGTTTGTAAAACTGAGATTAGTTGATAGAGCATAGCAGATCTATTTAGGTTGTTTTTAGGTGGTTATTATTTGGGACGTTTTTAAAAAAAAATGATATGTATCTTTAGATATATGAATAACTTCATGTTCATGCTTTAAAAATAATCTGGAAATATTCAAGCTCAAGAGCATAGGTCAGCTGTTTTCTTATCAATTACTGTAGTGCAAAATTTGTGAAAGTTTAATTTAACATTTTAAAAGGAATGTAGAACAAGGACAAAGAGTTTTTTTGTTACTTTACACTTTACTGAACAAATATTGTGGGGGATTATTAACTGAACTAATATTATTTATACTTGTACCATTACTTATTTGAATGGACCCAGATGTTGATTCTCTGGTTAATTTATTCTGAGCTTAGAGCCACAGTGACAGTGCAGTGTTTGAAAGAGGCATAGAATGTCTGTTGCAGCTCAGTTCTGTTGTAGGACCGGCATTAAATCCTTATCTGAAGACTTTTCTCATGTCGGTAAGTTGTGAAATAAAACCCAGATATTTTAAGCAAATTCAATTTTTTAATGATTGCAAATATCTGATTCAAGGAGCATTTATGAATAATAGGAGCATTTATGAATAATCAATATACTTTACAAACTGATCCGCTGTCTAAATGCAGTGATACCTGGACCTATGAACCACTCCCACTTTAAATATTAACTTTTCAAGATTTTTTCTTTTTCTTTTTGTAACCCATTTTGACCTCTACATACAAACCTAGATTCGAGATACTGTACAAACTATGCTGCACTTTATCGCTTACTTATAGTGTTTTTTGCTTCTATGTCCCATTTGTCTGGAATATGATGCAATGAGTGGTGTGTGGGACCAACGGCTTGTGTGATGGAAGCTGCACATACATATCTGCTTTTTTGTGTATCTACTGTGGTATTTTTGTAATCAAACAATGAAATTAGTGAAGAGTATTTTAGGCTCCTAGGAAATATGAGTCTTAATGCATGTATTTCTTTTCGTGATGTCTATGGAATGAATGACTGGCATTCTAGACAAACAAGTAGATGTGTATGTGTGCCTGTGGAGAGGTACCTCAGGCGAGAATGTTTAATTTGTTTTAAACCTTCCAATGAAGATAGATCTAAGAACATATTATAATGGGTACTAGCTTGATCGTAATAACTACTAAATTGTCACGAGCTCTTCCGTGTATTATTCATGTCACCATTTTAATGGAAGGTAATTTTCATACTACCAGTACATATAATATATGTATCATGTAAAACCAAAGATTTGATAAATAAAAATGTTAAATGGTATACCCAATGCATATTTATTGCCTGAAAATTCTCCTACTCACCCTTATCCATTTCTTTGCATTTTCTTAATTTAGGCAAGAGTAGTTCTATTTTATTTTTTTAATTTGATCTAAGAATAGATTAATTGATTTAATGGAAAATTGTGTTTTGAGATATGAATCACAGCCAGGAACGAATTAAGTTTGTTAGTCGAGGTACCACTGTAAATTAAATGTTTTAAAAATATTTTTTCATTATTGTTTAATTAGTAAGTTCTGTTTCTTCCCATTTTATATAACACCTCTGCCTTTAAAGAATCTGAGGAGAAATAAGTCAAGCATTAGAGAGTATTAACAGTCCTATGACTGAGGTGAACCTCTTAAAGGTTCAAATGTAGCAGTAGAGCCAAGTTGGGTGACATTTTTAAAAAAAACTATTTTTTATTTTAACAATGATGGGAGACCACTCTGTTTTGTTCATTCCATTTTTTTTTTTATAGCGTCACCTACTTTAATTACCGGTACTTTCTAAACTTAAAGTTAAAGCTAATATGACATATTGAGCGACAGCTAGTAAAATTCTCCTTTTACTTTTATTATTTAATATTTTCAAATCATTTTAATTTATTGCAAAATTTTATCAGCTGTCAAAGAGAATTATGGAGAAAAAATATAAAGAGAAGGTAACTGAAGCCTTACAGCATTTAGAGCAACATGGTGGAAAGGTAAACATGACATTGAAATTAACAGCAACCTAAAATACCTTGATCTTTGCCTTAATTTTCTTTAAATTTTTATCTAAACGTTCCTTTTACATAAAAGTTTATCCAAAATTCATTTTGTTGTCAAATGTCCATGTTCACTTTGCATGTGAAGCTAATTTCTTCTTAATTTTCTTCTGTATGTTAACAGGAAGTTTTGCCAATTATCAAGGCCAAGGTGCCCACCTACTGTTCTATATTTGGATGAAGTTTTCTACAAAGCTCAAGCATACTGTGATAATTCAAGCTTAAAGTTTAATATTTTTTTCCATCTGTTTTTCCTTCACATGAAAAAAAAAACATTTTTTTTTTGGGGGGGGGGGGGTTTACAGTGCACTTTGTGATTAGATTTTTAAATGTTGTAGTCATCACGGAACAGAAAAGCTCTAATGAATAATTGCACACTGTGATGTTTGCATTTTGAAGATCACTTGTCAGAATGGATGTTTAAGAAGTCAGCAGCCTTTTCAATACAATTATTTTCTCTTGCAGTAAAAGTACATTCAGCCAGTTGTGTCAGAGTCATGTTGGCTTTTTTTAGTAGGGCAGCTGTGAGATGCACATTTTTTTAAAACCATTTTTACAGAAGTTTAAGTTAGAAAGGGTGGGATATTTATAGTTTTTATCAAGGAATTTTTGTTATTTTATTTTTAGAATCCTGGTACTAGGTCTAAATTTTTCAGTTGTCCTATTCGCGGTCTGGATCATGAAGGCTGAATCTTTATTAAAATAATTCTCTCTATCATAATCAGACTGACATTCGGGAAGGTTTTTTTATAAGACATTTAGACCTAAAAGCATGCAGGTGGGCAAGTCATTTTCCCCACATTATCTTACACACAGTTTAGATAATTAATCACTGTCAGCATTTGGCATAGAAGGGAAACTGAAAATAGTGATACCCATTTATTGGGCCAAATGAACTAATCATAAGTCTAGTAAAAGTCTCCTTGATAGCAAAAGTGGTAAATGTATATATTGCACACATGAAATGCACATAATTTGCTAGAAATCCTTCATACAGCAAATGACAGCAGTTTCTTTATTAGTTTCATCCCTTTTTAGTAGCAAAAACCTCTTCAAGTTTTTAGTGATCATGCTAAGAAAATAATTTCATGTCAAATTTCCTATCCAAAGTGACCCTGTGATCTTGACCTAGCCTTATGTTTACCATGCATTCAAACTTTATTCATCGCTCAAGTGTGTTAGTCATAAATTCACAACGTCATCCATAAAATAAAATGAGAGCGGTAAGAAATCTTTGTCCCCCCCTCAAAATCTCAGATGATCTGTCGTTCTCTTGGAAATTATAAACATTTAGGATATTTTGAACTTAACATTTTGACATATGGAAGCTGTTAAATTTATTGAGCCTGAATATTATTTTTTTGTGTATGTAGTATGTTATTCAATAAATAAATTTGCAAATAAATAAGATTTAAAATTTCTGCCATCAGATATTGAAAAATGCATTGTATGTTAATTATTTTATCTAATGGAAGATTTGTAAAAACCAGTTACGCCTGGCACCACCTTAATTCTTGAGTTTGTTACTGGGTCGACTCCTGGCCACCCTGTTAGTTTATGATCTGGAAGTATAAATCTAATTCCATCCGTGTATTAGAATTGTTACTGGGTCGACTCCTGGCCACCCTGTTAGTTTATGATCTGGAAGTATAAATCTAATTCCATCCGTGTATTAAAATTGTTACTGGGTCGACTCCTGGCCACCCTGTTAGTTTATGATCTGGGAGTATAAATCTAATTCCATCCGTGTATTAAAATTGTTACTGGGTCGACTCCTGGCCACCCTGTTAGTTTATGATCTGGGAGTATAAATCTAATTCCAT